CTATATCGATTTATGTCTATTATATCGCCGATATCGAAACTTTCGTGATTGTTGTTGATTGATGGATTCGCCATTGAGTACACGATGGTTGGTGAGGTCTTCTTGATTTCAGCTAATGCTTTCTCCTGGTTATCGATGTAGCTTTGTTGTGGCTCTTGAGGCCAGTACTCGGGTGAATGATTCAAAAACTCGGGACCTTTCCACCAACTATGGTTTCTAACTAGTTCCTCTGCAGAACAACCTCTTGAGGGTAGATCGGCTATATTGATCTCTCCCGGACAGAATCTCCATTTCTCTCGGTCGAAAAGTTCCCTGATTTCCTTCACTCTGTTTTGAACATAAGGCTTCCATGTTTTGTCATTACGAATCCAACACAAGACGGTGTAAGAATCGCTCCACAAGAACACTTCAGGAGGCGTTTTTAGAGAGCTCATCGCTTCTTTGACAGATTTGACAAGTCTGACTAAAATAGTTGCTCCAAGCAACTCTAAACGAGGTATAGACTGACGCTTTATTGGAGCCACTCGTGTCTTGGACGCCACTAGATTAATTTCAATATCACCATTTGCGTGTTCCGTCCGAAGATAAACAACTGCTGCAAATGCTTTGTTGGATGCATCAGAGAATCCATGTAACTCGTGCTTCACAGGGGGCTCTTCCTTTCTTGTGAAATAACATCTCGGAACTTTGATGTCTTCAAGCTGTTTAAGTTATGTCACCAACCTTTTCCATTTTTCCAGTAGCTCTCCCTTTAACTCATCGTCCCAATCCACCTTTGCTAAGCATAACTCTTGAAAGAAGACTTTCATGTTAATTGTGAATGGGGTTAACAGTCCGATGGGATCGAAAATTCTGGCAGAGAGCCGAAGGACTGATCGTTTTGTAGCAGGTAGGGTAGTGGCATCTTTCGACCATTTAACATAGTCATGGAAAAGTGTGTCCTCGTCAACATTCCAGGGTATTCCTAGAACCTTTACTGGGTCGTTTCTTGTTTTGCATTCCTGATCACTCCCGGGGATATTATTTGCTTTATCGTTGCTTTCGTGTTGGTTTTCAGCTCTATCTGTTGCTATCTTTTCTTGCAAGTGTTTTGAATTCGTATGCCATTTTCGTAAGGTAAAACTCCCCGAACTCATTAACGTCTGGGATTTCTCGTAGACTTCACCTGCTTCATTATCGTCGAAAGCACCACCAGCGAAGTCATCTACATAAAATGATTTCCGCAGCAAGGACACCATTTTGGGTTCCTTTTCTTCATTCACAGCGAGATGGTGCTGCAGTACGGACGTTGGAATGGCAGGACTTGAGACTAGGCCAAACACTAATCGACAGAATTGGTACTTTTGAATTTCGGGTCTTTCTTTGCTTGGATCATCAAACCATAGGAATCTAACCATTCGTCGGTCTTCTGGTGCAATCTTTACTTGGTGGAATGCCTTTTCAATGTCTGCGACCATGCCGATTGGGTATCCTCTGAAATTGATGATCACATCGAACAGGTACGGAACCAGGTTGGGGCCTTTTTCTAGACAGTCGTTGATGGAAACACTGCTGTTATCGGGTTTTGCTGAACCATCAAATACCACACGCAACTTGGTAGTTTCTTTATCTTGCCGAACGACGCCGTGATGTGGTAAATAGTAAGCCTCTTCATCAGTATCATACTCTTCAGGCACTGGTTTAATAATGCCAGAAGTTATTTGTTGTTGAATAATCTTATCATACTCTTGGAGCAGATCTTTATCTTTCTTAAGACGCTTGTGGAGTTGTCTTTGGCGATTCGCACACGACATATATCCATTTGATGCAGGATGAGATTCAAATTTCCATGGCAGGTTTACTTCGAAGCGTTTCTCATCGTTGTGGTATATTAACTCGTTCAGGAAATTATCATTCCCCATCTTCTCGTCCTGGATCCCAAGAGATTCAGTGTCCCAAAATCTACGCAGTTCGTTTGTTAAGCCTTGATTCTTGTCTTCAAAAGCAAAACTATTCTTCATTGGATCCGAATTTTCTCGCAGAATGATGAGATTGGTAGACGATGAATTATCTTTGTCTGCATTCTGTGTTGGACCAGAGATTACCCAACCAAAGATAGTGTTGATAGCTACTGGACCTCTTTGGCCTCGACGAATTTCATCCGTGACAACATCGAAATAATGATCAGACCCAATCAAAATGTCAATGTTTGTTGGAACATCCTTACTAAGACTGGAATCTGCAAGCTGTAAGCCATGTAAATGTGGATGGGCTTCCACATCTAACTTCATCGAGAGGGGCGAGCATATCTTTGAAAAGGTAAGAGCAGAGATTTCAAAGTTTTCGGGTCGTGCTTCAAGCTTTATCTTTACTTCATGACAGCGTTGCTTGGTTACTCGATCGTCTCCAAATGTATTAAGGTTTAGGGTCTCAGTTCGCAAACTGTCCAAGCCAAGTTTCTCCTTCAATTGTTCGGAACAAGTTCGCTTTCGTCATGACTAAAGGCAAACGTCGTTGCAGTTTGTAGGAGTACCTTCTTCCCATGAGTTGTTGAATGCTGGTTTACTGTTGATGTCGCCACTGTTGGTCCGACTGGGTCTGCTTTGACAGGGCCCTTGGGAATCTCTTGTTTCTTCGAAAGTTCCTTTGGATGATCTTGACCTTTGCATATTGATTGATGGTGAAGCCCTTGACACTTTCTACATCTTTTGTCACATTGTTTCATTATGTGTCCCTTACGCAAGCAGACAAAACAGCGACCATCTCGTTTAAGAATTTCTTTTCTTTTGTTGACATCACAAACATCTTCACACGAAGCTGAGTAATGAGGTTTTTGGCAAAATGCACATCGAATGGAAAATTGATTTGTCACACCAGATCCCGAGGCAAGTAGAGCTAAAGCCGATCCCAGACCTCGAGGGACTGGGGCATTAGGTTTTTTGTTCTGATTGTCAGAGTGTGTTTTGATATTCTCACACACTTCTCGTGCTTCCACTTCCTTCTGAATGACATCTAGGAGCTCTCGAATATCCCACACATCTTTCGTAGTATTTCGGGCGATTTGGATTCTAACATCAGATGGCAACTTTGACATTATTACTGGGATAAGCAAACTTCCATACTGTTCTGTCTTGACTCCAATAGCTTCTAGCCCCCTAATATTTACACTGACTTTATCGTAGATTAATCTCAGACTTGATGCTGTGCCTCCACTGCAAGAGGCAATTTCAACAACTTGTCCATATGGGCTGCTATAACTTGTTGGGTTTTGCCAAATCGATTGTGGAGTATTTCGACAGCTGATTTGTAGTTTTCTTCCGTGATGGTCAGTCCTTGTATTGCTTGCAAACCAGGACCTTCTAACAGTGAATATAAATAATTGAATTTGTCAATAGGAGTCAGGTTTGGATTGTTATCAACAGCACTCTGAAAACTATCCCAGAAGGTGCGAAACTTAGTTATTTCACCATTGACTTTCAACAAGGATAATTTTGGCAATCGGGTTTCTGGTACAAATTGGGCCATAGATACTTGATATGATTCTTGGTTTAAGTGTCCACTAACAGATTCGGTCGAAATTTCCGCCAACGACGGCTGACTGTTCAAAGGCTCACTAATCGTCGTGTTTTGATGTGCCACAGGTACCGATTGTACTTGGTGTTCTTTTGCACATAATTTCTCGATTTTATTCTTTATTTCGTAAACTTTTGACGTTATTTCCTCAGATTCTTCGATATCTTTTTCAATGTCTTTTATGTCGCATTCTTCTAGAATTTCGTCGTCAAGCTTTTTTACTAAAGCTAATTTTTCGTTGAGGAGCTTGTCCAGCGTTGTTAAACGATCTAGTTTAGATTGATCTATGTCTCCATTCATATGCTCTATCGATTCTTTCATATACTTCGTAAGAACCCCTCGATTCGCAGAGCGAATTGCACGTTTTCGCTCAATGGTCTCGCTCATATTTTGTCGTCAAAATATAAATTAAACGTTGTTTCTTCGGTTAAAATGCTTTACGTTGGGCGCCATGTACTGCACGTCGCAGTTAAATGTAATATAAACTTTATTTCTAAACTATAAACTATAAAATATAAGTTGAAAGTCGTTTTAAACGTGTTTTTCGATTCGATTCATGAAACCAACAAAAAACGTCTCGTTTGCGCATGTCTGACATATTGTTCGCTATGACAAAAATAGCGGCGACAATTTAACCGTTCACAACACGGACAGGCCAAACGTTATAGTCAGGGGCGGACTGGCAGGTCGGGCTCACCGGGCAAACGCCCGGTGGGCCCCTTGCCTGTAAGGCCGTTTTGGGCCCCTTCAAATTAGCTTAAATGTCATTTAAATAAATTGCTAGAAGCTCCAAACCATGAAAAGCAGGAAGCAACTGGGCAACTTTTCAATTACAACACCACTCTCCGAATGCCTTCAAACGTGAGGCTTAAATCTTCTTCAAGCATTGAGAATGGTTCAATTTGCTATTGGAAAACTTGAAATGATCAGCAGAGATTTTCCAACTGTCCTGAATATTGCCACATCCAGTTCGCAAAAAAAGCCAAGAGCAAACGGGTTTGCTTTGATACCAATGTTGCAGTAGAAGAAAGTCTACTATCCAAAGGGACAAAAAGAATTAGAAAAAGGAAACTACATTTCGGTGAAAAGGATGCATATGACACTGACAATAGGGCGATGGATGCTCACGAGGACTATCAAGTGAATGTATTCAATGTCATAATTATCAAATTGTAACAAGCACCAATAGTAGATTTGAGAACCACAAGGACTTTACAAAGATGTTTCCTGTCTGGACCCTTGCCAATTCGATGAATGCAGAAGACAGAGGCTGCTTCAAAATGCATTAGATTCTTTGTGAAAAGATTGGAAATCATATTGACCCAATTCATGCAGAAACAAGTCTTGCAGGCCATGTTTCAGCTGCGATTTCAAACGCTTTTATGAATATGGTCTCAACTTATCTACGTATTCCGAACTATATGCAGCTTATCAGTATTTAGTACCGCTTAGTGTAACGCAAGTCGAATTTAAAAGAAGTTTCTTGACGCTTAAATTTATATTAAGAAACAACATTGGGCAGGAAAAATTAGAGGCACTTATCCTGACGTACACGCATAAATAGATGATCAATGACATATCAAATGAACAGATCATCAACCAGTTTGCCAACAGTTCCTTAGCACTGAGACGGCTAATGCCATGAAGACATTATTAAAGAGTGATCATGAACAATAATTTCCTTTCTCCATTTTGACGTTAAGAACATAAATTCATATTTCATTTATAACTCATTTGCGTAAGTTACTTTTATAAACCAATGACATTTTTGCAGATCAATGACTAATGATGAAAGTGCCTACTAAAAGTTAAAATAGGATAAGGTAATTTTTTTTTGGGGGGGGGTCAGGGCCCCCATCTAACCAAATCGCCCGGGCCCCCTTGAGGTAGCCAGTCCGCCCCTGGTTATTATAGTAGATATTACTAGGGTCTTAAATAGATAATCTATCTCACATTGGCTATAGCCTTCTGCCCTGAGTGTTCGTATAACGTACAAGCATTCGTTTGCTTTGACCAATTTACCTCGCACATGACGTGGTGAACTTGAGATTGTCTTGAAAAATAGTACCTAAAATGGGAAGTTCTTTGCATTGGGGTATATTATAAACATTGTCGAGTTGATCATTATATCCCTTCTTCCGGATGATAAGCTCTTTACATTTACCAGGGTTACAAGTCAGAAAATTATCGTCAGACCAGCTCAGGAATTGTCCAACTGTATCTGTTAATGTATCAGGACCGTCACTCCAAACTGGCACTATTATATTTGAATCGTCCGCATATTTAAAAAGAGCGTTCTCGCCGTCTATGTCCACCTCTAAATCATTTAGGAAAATATTAAAAAGGTAGGGGCCACTTACTCTCCCCTGTGTTGTACCCTTATTAACATCCATCCATTCTCCACAAAAATCGTTACAAACGACTCTTTGCTTTCTATTCTTTAGAAAATTTAAATACCAATTTATGATATAAGGGTTGAGTGGCACATTTTTTAACTTTTCCGAGAGAAGTGAATGTTTCACGGAGTCGAAAGCCTTGCTAAAATCCATAGAAAACAGTCTAACTGCTTTGCAGTCCGCTCTATCTAAGAAGCTGAGTACTTTGTTCTGAATAGTCAACAGAGCGTTTGTACAACTCCCCCCCTGCCTGCACGCAAATTGCGGTGGGGATAAAATTTCCTCAACTGTCGACTTGACCTGACTATTATAAACGAGCTTTTCGAAGGTCCTCGCAATTACAGGTGTAATATTTATTCCACGAAAGTCACCGTCTTCCTTTGGTAAATCAACCTTTGCAAGAGGGTTAATATTCGCTCTTTTCCATGAATCTGGCCAAGTATGTGATGAAAGGGACAAATTCCAGACGTTAGTTATAACTTCGGTTAGAATTTCAGCATGATCACTCTAAACCCAATAGGGAATATAATCGGGACCTGTTGCTGTCCTCTTTATTCTTTTCAAGGCATTCCATACCTGCTGTTCCGTGAAGCTAGGAATATCTACTTCATCACCAATAATTGAGAGCGTCGGTTCGACATACTATCATCGTGGCAGAGTTCGCCAAAGTAGCGATTTAATCTTGTAAGTGATGCATTATCTAAAGTAACTCTTGATGACGATGCATTTCGCTGAGAAATATCATTCGTCTTTCTCCACCAAGTTCTACTTCCCACCAAGGCCCTAAAATTTCTTCTGTTTAGACAAATGACATCAGAAATCCTTTTGTTAATTAAACTGAGTCTATCCTTTTGCGACCGAGCAATTCTGTATTTAGCTTTTAGCAAAGATTTAATTAAAAGACTCATCCAGTAAGGGTCACGTGACGAAATTGAGACTGTTTTTGTGGGCATACATTTATTCAAATGATCCATGATCTTACGTTCAAGACAATTCACAGCGTCATTTACATTCGTGGACTGCGATACATCTTCCCAATCTTCTTCTGCTAAAGCTTTGTGGAAATCTTCCTTTCGATGCTTTCTGCAATCCCAAAATTCAACCTTTCGGCGCATAGGTTTTAGTTTCGTTCCTGTTGGTAAAATAACCCCTATGTGGTCTGTTTTAGTTATAACATATGGAAAGGATAACATTTTGAGAACAAATCTATTCTATTTGTAAGGCAGTTATCCAAACATGTGTTACCCCTTGTTGAAAAGTCGACCATTGCATCCTATCCTGATAGTTCCTCAAGGTGTTTTATGTCCAAACTGTTCAAATCCCCTCCACAAACAATTACAGTGTCTGGATATTTGTCCAGAACGTCGTCAGAAATATTTATCAAATAATCCAATAAGTCGCTCTCCAGATAATTGTGCCTATAGGTGGGTGATAAAGGCCATATATCAACATGCGGTTTCCTGTAGGTAACAGAAGTGTGACACCAATAAGTTCGTACAAACTGGATCGACAAATATCAATAACTCTTAAGTTGTTCCGAACATATATTGCTACCCTTCCTTTTGCTCTCATATCGCGTCCTTCCCAACTTCTATCTCTTCTAAATATTGAATAATTGCGAATGGTCACCACAGCATCTGGCATTTCAGGTTTCAGGTGACTCTCGCTCACCACACATACATCTATATCGTTATTGACCAAGTCTGCCTTCAGTGCAACTACAGCTCGTACTCGATTGTAGTTGCCAATTGCCAAGATTTGTTTTTCGTTTCGCGTCCCGCGAAAAAATTCGCCTAGTGGAGAACGGGCGCCTTTAGTACAGCAGTACAAAAACTAATGTTTAAATATGTTTAAGTACAAAAACATATTTAAATATGTTTTTATAAACGCTAAATAGGTTTAAATGAAAAAACGTTTAAAATATGTTTAAATACTAAGGGTTACTATCGCAAGGAAAGTGCTGCTTTGGATCCACAGACAAATACTAAAATGTTAAATATATCTGAAAACTAATAAATACATTTACATATACCCATACAAAGAAACACTGTATGTACGATTTATTTCGTTGCAAAAATTGAGATTACAACACTTTAATTAAAAACTGACCGTACAAAAACTATTTCAAGTCTACAAACTAACATCAGTTCAGTATAGTTAAAAGAAGAGAAGGAAGAAAGGAACAAAGAAAGAGACATATAAACTAAATGTACAACATACAATACATAGACAGAAATATATGAACGTATATTCAAGTGAATCCTATATTGCGGCTTTGCTGCACGGTGAACTTTAATTGTTCTATATTGCGGTAGTCTGCCGTAGTACTGTACCGTGTTATATAATAGCACAACAGTATACAGAATAGGGCCGTTCATATGGGAGAAAAATAAGTCGCGCGACTTGTTCGCGACTTACGTAACACGTGCGGACGCACTGTATAATTTTGTATCTACAAGAATAATTCCAAATGAAGCTGAATTCAATCTTCATGCTTTCTCAGTTTGAATTCACGTGGCCATTATTAAGTTCTTAAATACATGCAAAGACAATAACTAATTCAAGGAAAAGCACGGTTATTCTTAGAAATCGTGTCTAAAATATATTTGACGTCAGAGTGATCCGAGCTGAGGAATGAGTGCACAAACATGCCATTCTAGCTGTTGCTATGAAAGTGAAAGGCCGGAGTATTCCTTCATTGCGCACGAAAAATAAGCCGAATTTACTGTGATCTCGCAGCCACTGCCAAAGTTGGAAGTTACCTTCCTTGTAATCTGTTACGTATTATTGTCATTCGTTTTATACATAAGCAAAATTCATGTTAATATATTATACTGACTAGAGAGCAAAGCAATTAAGGTGTCAAGCCGTAGAATTCCTTTGTAGCTATAGTTCAAAAAAATTTTAGTCGACATTTTTTATTTGTTCATACTAAATACGAATGCCGTTGGGTTCCATAAATAAGGCAAATTATTTCAGAACTCGTATTTTATACAAGTTGTAGTCTGGGTCAATTATGAATCGCTGATGCATGATTTCTGGTTTCATATGTCGACTTGAAATTGTATTTCAAGACAAGAGATCCTCAGTTATAGCCGATTCCTAGTCTTACTATCTATAGATTGTTCCTTATTTCAAATTCTCTAACTCTGGGGGTGCATGTACGTATACTCCTGCTCCCTCCAAAACAAGCGTTTTCCGGCTCCAAAAGGACCGAAATGAGCAATTAATTCAAGGAAAAGCAGTGTAATATATTCGAAGACGAAAGCGTTTTCGAAGAATATGGTGACGTCTGAAAGGTCAGCAGGATTGAGTAATAAACATATACATTGACTTTGCTGTGTAAGTGAAACTGAGGCCGGAACATTCGTTCATCACTTAGGAAAATAAACCGAATTTAATGTGATCTCGTGGGCATGACTGCAGTTAAAAGTCGTAGTTCCTTGTAAAGGTATTACTGCATGTCACTCACCTTCATACAAAATTCATGTTAATATATTACAGAACTCGAGAGCAAAAGCAAGGAAGAATTCCTTTGTAGTTTGAAAGAATTTTAGTCAACATTTTTGATTCGCGCATACTATGGCATTAACAAATACGAATGCCGCCGTGTTCCACAAATAAGGCAAATTCTTTCAGAACTCGCATTATAGTTTTTTTAGTCCAATTCATCTAGTGAATCACTAATGATTTATGGTTTCATATGTCGATTTTCAATTGTATCTAAACAGATCTTTAGTTAGCTTATTGCCCTATTCCTAATCTAACAATCTAGATTGTTCCATATTTCAAATCCTCAAACTCTGGGAGTGCCTGCATGTAATATTCCTTTCCCTCCAAAACACTTATTTCCTCCGAAAGACCGAAAAGAGTCAAAAGACCGAAATGAGCATTTAATTCAAGCAATGTGATATATTCAAAGACGAAGGCGTTTCCAAAGTATATGGTGACGTCAGAAAGGTCAGAAGGATTGAGCAATAAAAGCATAGTTACTTTGACTTTGCTCTAAAAGTGAAAGGAACATTCGGTCATCATTTGGGAAAATAAACCGAATTTAATGTGATTTCGAGGGCATCACAGAAGTTAAAAGTCGTCTTCCTTGTAAAGGTATTACTATCACTCAATTTAATATGAAATTCATGATAATATATTAAGAACAAGAGGGTAAAAGCTGGGTATATAGAATTCCTTTGTACAGTAGTCACCATCGTCTCACCGAGAGCATCATCAGTTTTGCGTTTAGACATGTATATTTTAAAATTTAAACTATGATGAAACATTCCTCTTTAAAAGCGGCTGTTGATCTTTATATAAGTCAGTATTATTTAGAAGCGTAATTATCAAATGAAAGGAATAGGTGACATGAAAATGCAAATATCCCAAAAATTTCCAGCTTTCATGCACCTTGCTAACATTGGCAAAGGCGGGGAAAGGCCGCATAGTCGCATGTTCTGGTATGGTGATCGAACTGCATGCACGTCGTTTTTTGGCTGATAACTCCACATTTATAATACTTCTATAATCTAAACATATAAACATGAACTAAACTTTAAGAAAGAAGCAATCGATATATAGGTTAGTATCAATTTTACCGCGTCTATTCAAGTGAATCCTATATTGCGGCTTTGCTGCACGGTGAAGTTTAATCTTGCGGTAGTCTGCCGTAGTACTGTACCGTGTTTATATAATAGCACAACAGTATACAGAATGGGCCGTTCATATGGGAGAAAAATAAGTCGCGCGACTTGTTCGCGACTTACGTAACACGTGCGGACGCACTGTATAATTTTGTATCTAGAAGAATAATTCCAAATGAAGCTGAATTCAATCTTCATGCTTTCTCAGTTTTAATTCACGTGGCCATTATTAAGTTCTTCAATACATCCAAAGACAATAACTAATTCAAGGAAAAGCACGGTTATTCTTAGAAAACGTGTCTAAAATATATTTGACGTCAGAGTGATCCGAGCTGAGGAATGAGTGAATAAACATGCCATTCTAGCTGTTGCTATGAAAGTGAAAGGCCGGAGTATTCCTTCATTGCGCACGAAAAATAAGCGGAATTTACTGTGATCTCGCAGCCACTGCCAAAGTTGGAAGTTATCTTCCTTGTAATCTGTTGCGTATTATTGTCATTCGTTTTATACATAAGCAAAATTCATGTTAATATATTATACTGACTAGAGAGCAAAGCAGTTAAGGTGTCAAGCCGTAGAATTCCTTTGTAGCTATAGTTCAAAATAATTTTAGTCGACATTTTTTATTTGTTCATACTAAATACGAATGCCGTTGGGTTCCATAAATAAGGCAGATTATTTCAGAACTCGTATTTTATACAAGTTGTAGTCTGGGTCAATTATGAATCGCTGATGCATGATTTCTCGTTTCATATGTCGATTTGAAATTGTATTTCAAGACAAGAGATCCTCAGTTATAGCCTGTTCCTAGTCTTACTATCTATAGATTGTTCCTTATTTCAAATTCTCTAACTCTGGGGGTGCATGTACGTATACTCCTGCTCCCTCCAAAACAAGCGTTTTCCGGCTCCAAAAGGACCGAAATGAGCAATTAATTCAAGGAAAAGCAATGTAATATATTCGAAGACGGAAGCGTTTTCCAAGTATATGGTGACGTCTGAAAGGTCAGCAGGATTGAGTAATAAATATATACATTGACTTTGCTGTGTAAGTGAAACTGAGGCCGGAACATTCGTTCATCATTTAGGAAAATAAACCGAATTTAATGTGATCTCGTGGGCATCACTGCAGTTAAAAGACGTAGTTCCTTATAAAGGTATTACTGCATGTCACTCACCTTCATACAAAATTCATGTTAATATATTACAGAACTCGAGAGCAAAAGCAAGGAAGAATTCCTTTGTAGTTTGAAAGAATTTTAGGGACGGACCATTTGATTTTTGATGGGTGGGTGGGTAGATTTTCAGTTTGCTCGATATTTTTTTCCGCCTCCTGACACTGTTCGATTTTTTTTGTCAGTCAGAGGACTTGCACGATATTTTTTTGTATGCATGTGTATACAGTTTTTTGTTTTTACATTTTTTGGTATATATAATAGGTAATTGGACAAGTACTGGTGTTATACATTGTGTAGCCTAAATAATGAGAGGAGCAGTATTCAAAAAATGGTTGTTCTTCATTTCTTTACTCCGACTCCTATGATGAACATTTACGTAAAAAACTAGGGAAACTACGATTATATATAGAAACTAAAGTAGGTTAAATTTTTATGGGACTCCATTAAAGGTGAGGATATAAGAGTGAGAGATTGAAATTGAGTAGGAAAGGCATCCCTACACATGTTTCGACCTAACAGTCTTCTTCAGCAGGGTTTTTTAAAGGGGGGGGGGGTATATAGAATTTGCAGAGGAGAAGGAGAGTTTAGGAGTTCGGGAAATAATGTGAACTTGGATCCTCTACGTAGCAAAATCCACACCAGAACTAGCTATAGCTATCTATTGGTCATATCGTATCATTACTAATCTCTGTTTTGGTTTTGTTATATATGTACATGTTCGTTATTATTGTATATTCATATATTTTAAACAAAAATCAAACCCTGCACGGTGTTATCATTATTTTTATCCCTTATGTATCACTAATTGCCAAACGCCCCTATCCCTGTCTTATAAGCTCCTACACCACTAACACCATATTTGGATGCAATCACCTACAGTCACATGATCACCCTTACCAAGTTACCATCACAATCATTCAAACTCACTATGCCATTGAGTAAGTTAACCCTTAATTGAAGGACATGCAAATTTGCTTCACTTCAGCAATACGAACGATGAACAATAAAGTGCGTAGTGTTGGAATGTCTCGCAAACAACAAGACCTTCGGATAACTTGACTATAATAACATGTATAGTAGTTACATCCTTTCACTGTGTCTGTGTAATTGATTATTTTCAGTTATTTCATAATAATTTGTTTTCCTCTTGGTCTCACATTATTTTCCGAACTCCTATAAACTCTCCTTTCTTCTCCTCTTCAAATTATATCTACACCCCACCCCCCCCCCTCCTCTTAAAAAACCCTGCTGAAGAAACTGTTAGGTCGAAACGCATGCCCTTGTACGCTATTCCTACTCAATTTCAACCTCTCGCTCTTATATCCTCGCCTTTGATCGTGTCCCATAAAAATTTCACCTATTTTAGTTTCTACGGCCGTGATTTGATCGTAGTTTTCCTAGTTTTTTATGTACATGTTCATCATAGGAGTCGGAGTAAAAAAATAAAGAACAACCATTTTTGGAATTATACTGGTCCTCCCATCAATTTAGGCTACAGGGCCGTAGGAAGCTCTTTTTTATTGGGGGGCTGAAAGCGAGGGCCGAAGGCCCGAGGAAATTTTTAAATTTAGAGTCTCTGAAATGCCATTTCCTGGACCCTGCAGCCCCCCCCGGTTGCTACATACGTCCCTGGGCTACACACGGAAATGCACCGAATGGCAAATAAGGATTACCACTCGAAAGTCTTGCTCGATATATTTTTTCGTCCATTTATTCTTGCATGATATTTTTTTTAAGTTCAAATTGCTTGCCCGATATTTTTTTGGGGATTCTACCCACCCCCCCCCATCAAAAATCAAATGGTCCGTCCCTTAGTCAACATTTTTGATTCGCGCATACTGTGGCATTAACAAATACGAATGCCGCGCCGTGTTTCACAAATAAGGCAAATTCTTTCATGCAGAACTCGCATTATAGTTTTCTTAGTCCAATTCATCTAGTGAATCACTAATGATTTATGGTTTCATATGTCGATTTTCAATTGTATCTAAACAGATCCTTAGCTTATTGCCCTATTCCTAATCTAACTATCTAGATTGTTCCATATTTCAAATCCTCAAACTCTGGGAGTGCCTGCATGTAATATTCCTTTCCCTCCAAAACACTTATTTCTTCCCAAAGACCGAAAAGAGTCAAAAGACCGAAATGAGCATTTAATTCAAGGAAAAGCAATGTGATATATTCAAAGACGAAGGCGTTTCCGAAGTATATGGTGACGTCAGACAGGTCAGAAGGATTGACGGCAATAAAAACATAGTTACTTTGACTTTGCTGTAAAAGTGAAAGGAACATTCGGTCATCATTTGGGAAAATAAACCGAATTTAATGTGATTTCGAGGGCATCACACAAGTTAAAAGTCGTCTTCCTTGTAAAGGTATTACTATCACTCAATTTAATATAAAATTCATGCTAATATATTAAGAACAAGAGGGTAAAAGCTGGGTACATAGAATTCCTTTTGTACAGTAGTCACCATCGTCTCACCGAGAGCATCATCAGTTTTGCGTTTAGACATCTATATTTTAAAATTTAAACTATGATGAAACATTCCTCTTTAAAAGCGGCTGTTTATCTTTATATAAGTCAGTATTATTTACAAGCGTAATTATCAAATGAAAGGAATAGGTGACATGAAAATGCAAATATCCAAAAAGTTTCCAGCTTTCATGCACCTTGCAAACATTGGCAAAGGCGGGGAAAGGCCGCATAGTCGCATGTTCTGGTATGGTGATCGATCTGCATGCACGTCGTTTTTTGGCTGATAACTCCACATTTATAATACTTCTATAATCTAAACATATAAACATGAACTAAACTTTAAGAAAGAAGCAATCGATATATAGGTTAGTATCAATTTTACCGCGTCTATTCAAGTGAATCCTATATTGCGGCTTTGCTGCACGGTGAAGTTTAATTGTTCTATATATTGCGGTAGTCTGCCGTAGTACTGTACCGTGTTATATAATAGCACAACAGTATACAGAATAGGGCCGTTCATATGGGAGAAAAATAAGTCGCGCGACTTGTTCGCGACTTACGTAACACGTGCGGACGCACTGTATAATTTTGTATCTAGAAGAATAATTCCAAATGAAGCTGAATTCAATCTTCATGCTTTCTCAGTTTGAATTCACGTGGCCATTATTAAGTTCTTAAATACATCCAAAGACAATAACTAATTCAAGGAAAAGCACGGTTATTCTTAGAAAGCGTGTCTAAAATATATTTGAAGTCAGAGTGATCCGAGCTGAGGAATGAGTGAATAAACATGCCATTCTAGCTGTTGGTATGAAAGTGAAAGGCCGGAGTATTCCTTCATTGCGCACGAAAAATAAGCCGAATTTACTGTGATCTCGCAGCCACTGCCAAAGTTGGAAGTTATCTTCTATGTAATCTGTTACGTATTATTGTCATTCGTTTTATACATAAGCAAAATTCATGTTAATATATTATACTGACTAGAGAGCAAAGCAATTAAGGTGTCAAGCCGTAGAATTCCTTTGTAGCTATAGTTCAAAAAAATTTTAGTCGACATTTTTTATTTGTTCATACTAAATACGAATGCCGTTGGGTTCCATAAGCCCCATAAATAAGGCAAATTATTTCAGAACTCGTATTTTATACAAGTTGTAGTCTGGGTCAATTATGAATCGCTGATGATGCATGATTTCTGGTTTCATATGTCGATTTGAAATTGTATTTCAAGACAAGAGATCCTCAGCTATAGCCTATTCCTAGTCTTACTATCTATAGATTGTTCCTTATTTCAAATTCTCTAACTCTGGGGGTGCATGTACGTATACTCCTGCTCCCTCCAAAACAAGCGTTTTCCGGCTCCAAAAGGACCGAAATGAGCAATTAATTCAAGGAAAAGCAATGTAATATGTTCGAAGACGAAAGCGTTTTCCAAGTATATGGTGACGTCTGAAAGGTCAGCAGGATTGAGTAATAAACATATACATTGACTTTGCTGTGTAAGTGAAACTGAGGCCGGAACATTCGTTCATCATTTAGGAAAATAAACCGAATTTAATGTGATCTTGTGGGCATCACTGCAGTTAAAAGTCGTAGTTCCTTGTAAAGGTATTACTGCATGTCACTCACCTTCATACAAAATTCATGTTAATATATTACAGAACTCGAGAGCAAAAGCAAGGAAGAATTTCTTTGTAGTTTGAAAGAATTTTAGTCAACATTTTTGATTCGCGCATACTATGGCATTAACAAATACGAATGCCGCCGTGTTCCACGAATAAGGCAAATTCTTTCAGAACTCGCATTATAGTTTTTTTAGTCCAATTCATCTAGTGAATCACTAATGATTTATGGTTTCATATGTCGATTTTCAATTGTATCTAAACAGATCTTTAGTTAGCTTATTGCCCTATTCCTAATCTAACAATCTAGATTGTTCCATATTTCAAATCCTCAAACTCTGGGAGTGCCTGCATGTAATATTCCTTTCCCTCCAAAACACCTATTTTCTCCGAAAGACCGAAAAGAGTCAAAAGACCGAAATGAGCATATAATTCAAGGAAAAGCAATGTGATATATATATTCAAAGACGAAGGCGTTTCCGAAGTATATGGTGACGTCAGAAAGGTCAGCAGGATTGAGCAATAAAAACATAGTTACTTTGACTTTGCTGTAAAAGTGAAAGGAACATTCGGTCATCATTTGGAAAAATAAACCGAATTTAATGTGATTTCGGGTGCATCACAGAAGTTAAAAGTCGTCTTCCTTGTAAAGGTATAACTATCACTCAATTTAATATAAAATTCATGCTAATATATTAAGAACAAGAGGGTAAAAACTGGGCATATAGAATTCCTTTTGTACAGTAGTCCATGGCAAGAAATTTTGGACATTTGCCTATTAAACCAGAGCTCGTTCAGCGATAAATGGTTGCAAGACGCCAAAATCATGAACAAAACTGTACATTAATGATTATTTTTATTGCGTCGCTTAGCTTCAACGTCGCTTATTACGTCGCTTAGCTTCAATTGAAAATAGCCCAGTACTAACATTAGGGGGAAACAACATTAAGCGAGTTTACCAAAAAAAGTCACTAGGCATCATCCTTGACGACCAGCTAAAATGGAATAAACATAATGAAATGCAATGTAAAACAATTTCAAATAACATCGCCCTGCTGAAAAGAGCAAAATTGTTTGTCAATAGAGATAGTCTGATAAAAATCTACAATGCCTTAGTGTGGCCTCATTTCAATTATTGTTCAACAATCTGGAATGATGGATGTTGTTCGATAATTGATAAATTGTTTATACTGCAGAAGAGAGCAGCGCGTGTGATAACAGGGGACACATATGAGGTTCGTTCCATGCAAACGCTAGATAGTCTTAATTGGCTTCCAATAGAAGAACTTCTAAAACAACGACAGTTAATAATGACATTTATGGTCGATTACCTCGATACCTTGAAAAATTGTTTTCAGTAAGTCAAAATGACAATTACAATCTAAGAAGCAATCAAATTAAATTGAACCTACCCAAACCTAAGACAAATTTTCTCAAACGAAGTTTCTCGTATAGAGCTGCTAAGTCCTGGAACGAACTTCCAAGTGAAACTATTGAAAATTATAACAATCTTTCAATTTTGTCGTTTAAACGGCAATTACTTAATTCATCCGTATCAATTCATTGTAAATAGTTATATTCTTTTTGTCCTTTATATATTATTGTTGTAAACACACGGCCCTTTGAAAACCAGCGCTGTAAATATTATCTGCTGAACAGGCTACCGTGTTTAAATAATTTTATTAAAGATTAAAGATTAAAGTACGAACGGATACATAAAATATGTCCATAATTCTATCTATAAAGGTCAAAATTTGCCAGAAAATGAAGAATATGCTAGTGGCAAAATCGTTTCGAAACTTTGTAATCCGATAGAATAAATCCATATGTTGTGACGCGAAGTAGGTGCGCGGTCAGACAAAAAGCGGCATATCTCAATCGGAGCATGCGTAGTCTCAAAAGTACGGTCGAATTCAGAATCGCTTCACTATGACGAGCATTTCGATACTAAATTATTGTTGTTTCGACCTAAATATCTGGTGGCAAAATGCGTATTTCTTCAATCAAGTCTGCGTGTAAACACAGGCGCTATCTGCGCATTTGGTCGTTCTTATATTCAGCCTGGTTTTAAAGAATTCACGCTCAACTGGACGTATAATTAGCACATCATAAAGCTTAAACTAAAGATAAACGATTGCGCAGCTTATTCCGTGAGTTTCAGAGTCAATAAAAGGATGCTAACGTTGTTTGTTGTTGCATATGGAATCTCGCAAAGGCCAACACTACAGACCGCTGTGGGAGATCGTGCCTGATGTGTCGCATTTCTTGATATAGCAGTATTTGCATTTTATTATGTATTATATCCCTCCATGCGTTTGTATGGATTTTATATTTTTGTTTATATCAATTCAGGTCTAAAAATGATCTAAATTTGAAATGCTTGTCTATATTTGATATGCGCATTAGAGTAGATCACAGCAAATGTCCTACTTATATGGGCAATTTATTGGCATGCACCATCGTCTCACCGAGAGCATCATCAGTTTTGCGTTTAGACATGTATATTTTAAAATTTAATCTATGATGAAACATTCCTCTTTAAAAGCGGCTGTTTATCTTTATATAAGTCAGTATTATTTAGAAGCGTAATTATCAAATGAAAGGAATAGGTGACATGAAAATGCAAATATCCCAAAAATTTCCAGCTTTCACCTTGCAAACATTGGCAAAGGCGGGGAAAGGCCGCATAGTCGCATGTTCTGGTATGGTGATCGATCTGCATGCAGGTCATTTTTTGGCTGATAACTCCACATTTATAATACTTCTATAATCTAAACATATAAACATGAACTAAAC